GTGTGTGTGTGTGTGTGTGTGTGTGTGTGTGTGTGTGTGTGTGTGTGTGTGTGTGTGTGTGTGTGTGTGTGTGTGTCTGTTAGAGGAAGTGCAGTAAACGTGTGTGTGTGTGTGTCAGGGTCGGAGCTGGGAGTCGTCCATGTTGTCTCGCTGTACTCAGGGTCTGACGTCCGTCCTCCTCGCTCTAAAGAAATGTCCCATGATCCGCTACCAGCTGTCCTCGGACATGTCCAAACGCCTGGCAGAGAGTGTCAAGGTTTCCATGGCAACACACACACAATCCCAGTTTTTAACGCTGATTCAAAATCACTGATTTAAAGATTCATTTCTAAAGGAAGAGACTTCTTCTTCTTCTTTCACCTCCGACAGCAAATCATCACGAAGGAGTACGAGCTGTTTGACTTCAGGAAGACAGAGGTTCCTCCTCTGCTGCTGATCCTCGACCGGAGCGACGACGCCATCACGCCGCTGCTCAACCAGGTGCGCAATCACAGCGTTCCGCACCACGACATCGGCACATTTCAAAGTCAAAGATCTTCTGTTGACGTGTCTGTGTCTTTGTCCAGTGGACATACCAGGCAATGGTCCACGAGCTGCTCGGCCTCAACAACAACAGGATCGACTTGTCCAGAGTCCCGGGGATCAGCAAGGACCTGAAGGAGGTGGTTCTGTCTGCGGAGAACGACGAGTTCTACGCCAACGTGAGTCCAACCGCACACACTGAGACGCCATTTCGTATGTGGACACGTGTGTCAGGTTGTTAATGAAGTCGTGTCTCTATCAGAACCTCTATCTGAACTTTGGAGAGATCGGCACCAACATCAAGAACCTGATGGAGGATTTTCAGAAGAAGAGACCTAAAGGACACCAGAGGCTGGAGTCCATCTCCGACATGAAGGTCAGACAGAAGGCCCTTCACTGAGAGGGGCCCTTCACAAACAGGGGCCCGTCACTAACAGAGGGGCCCTTCACAAACAGAGGGGCCCGTCACTGAGAGGGGCCCTTCACAAACAGAGGGGCCCGTCACTGAGAGGGGCCCKTCACWAACAGAGGGGCCCGTCACTGAGAGGGGCCCKTCACTAACAGAGGGGCCCGTCACTGAGAGGGGCCCTTCACTAACAGATGGAAATCAAACATTGACTCATGGTCTGAACGTCTCCAGCTGTGATGTTGACCAGATGTTTGTCTCCGCAGGCGTTTGTCGATAACTACCCTCAGTTTAAGAAGATGTCGGGCACCGTGTCCAAACACGTGACGGTGGTGGGCGAGTTGTCTCGGCTGGTTTCGGAGCGTCAGCTGATGGAGGTGTCGGAGGTGGAGCAGGAGCTGGCCTGTCAGAACGACCACTCCAACGCTCAGCAGGTACCTGACGCCGTTTCCTGTCTGAAGAGACCGTGGTTACCACGGTTACCACTGTAACCAACAGAGCGGGAACATTAACGCCTCAGTGAACTTCTCTGCTGCTGCGTCTTTCTTTCAGAGCGTTCGCCGCCTGCTGCAGAATCCTCGTTTGTCAGAGCTGGACGCCGTCCGCCTCGTCATGCTCTACGCTCTGAGGTATGAACGCCACAGCAGCAGCATCCTGCCGTCGCTGATGGACGAGCTGAGCAGGAGAGGAGTGTCCGAACGCCACCGCAAGGTAAATATGTTACTGATGCTCAGCCCTGATTGGACGAGTGAAATGTATTTACATTTACAGTCTCAGTCACTGAAGAAAAAAACATTTGGACTTTTCTGGCATCACCCCCCACCCCCATTGACAGATGGTTCAGTCGGTGGTCGAGTACGGAGGGAAACGAGTCAGAGGAAGTGACCTCATCATGCCGACAGATGCCGTCGCCATGACGAAACAGTTCTTCAAAGGACTCAAGGTACAGTCACAGTCCAAAGCATAGTTACCACCTCATCCTCCTTAGCAACCATCGTCAAGTGTGTGTGTGTGTGTGTGTGTGTGTGTGTGTGTGTGTGTGTGTGTTCAGGGTGTGGAGAACGTCTACTCTCAGCATCAGCCACTGCTTCATGACACTCTGGATCAGCTGATTAAAGGTCGACTAAAAGACAGTCAGTTTCCATACCTGGGAGCCAGCAGCCTGCGAGACAGGTAACACACACACACACACACGCACACACACACACACACACACACACACACACACACACACACACACACACACACCTGAGAGTGACACCTGTGTGTGTGTGTTGCAGGCCTCAGGACATCATCTTGTTTCTGATTGGTGGAGCCACTTATGAAGAAGCTCTGACTGTTTACAACATGAACCGAAGTTCACCTGGAGTCCGCATCGTCCTCGGAGGAAGCAGCATCCACAACACCAAGAGGTCTCTCACACACACACACACACACACACACACACACCTGAGTCGCAGAGCAGCTGTCTTTACCTCACTCTCTTTCTCTTTCAGTTTCCTAGAGGAAGTGATGTCGTCAACAAGTCATGGTGGCGATGGACCACAAGGAAGTGGTCGCCATGGCAGTAGACGCTGAGAAAACACACAGTCATATCAGTCTGATTCTTTCAGTGAAAATATTACATGAGATAAGACATTTGATCTTATCATGGAAAAGAAAGAGATAAACAAATCCTGATGTGATTTTGTCTCTGATGTTTCATCCTTTAAGTTTACTGGAAATATGTTCACACACACACATAGACATACATAGACACACACACACACACACACAGACTCACAAACATAGGACGGGGGTCCTTGGCAGATGTAAATAAAATTCCTGACAGTCTGTGTTGTTGCTTGTTGTGATTGTTTATTACGGGGGTCAGAATATTAGGAACACCTCTGAATCTATCACAGTGAACCTCGTTAAGAGACACATCACAGGTTCCAGCTCAACTGCTCATGTCTGGAACAACACAAACAGGCTCAGTGTTTAGACTCCGTCAGTCTCTGTTGGTTTTCTGCTTGTATTTGGTGAAATGTCCCTTTAAAGTATCTAAATGTTCAACTTTTAAGTTAAAATCTAAATAAATCACTGCATCCTGTGATTCATTAAACAATTTCTGCAAATTAAATTTGACTCCATTATTTCTTTTTGTCATATTTTAATTTATATCTGAGTTTATTCCTCAGTGACTTTAAAAAAAAAGTTTGAAATGTTTCTGCTGCTGTGATCAATGCTGTGACATCCACTTCCTGTCCGCCTTCACTTTAAGTGGAAAACAGGAGATTTATAACTTCAGGTCAGAGGTCACCGAGAGGCTTCGTTCTCACATCAGTTATTTTCCTCATTTATTAATTTGTTCATCTTGATGATTTGTCTTGAGTTAATAAACAGAAACATTATTTCAGAGCTGAATTTAAACAAAGTTCACACTGAGAGTTTGAAATGTGAGATGAGAACCAGCAGGGGGAGCTGTTGTCTCATTAGTGACTGAACCATCATGTTAAACTGAAGCTGACCTCTCACCTCTGACCTCTCACCTCTGACCTCTCACCTCTGACCTCTCACCTCTGACCTTGGTCTGTTTGACGCAACAGAGTAAAAGTCTTCGGTTTGTTCTCATCCACACTTTACGATTATTTCAGTTTTCAGCTCCAGAAGGAAACAAACAACTTTACTCTCAGTCAGGAAACAGGTCAGAGGTCAAGGTCAGGAAACAGGTCAGAGGTCAAGGTCAGGAAACAGGTCAGAGGCCAGTCCATAGTTTGGCACAGAGGATAAACTTTTGTCCAGGTTTGGTTTTCTTTTATTTAAAGTAAAATATAAATCGGAGCAGGAGGAAATTAAAAAGATTTTTAAACCTCCAGTGAACAAACTT